CTGCAGTGGTTTGTACAAAGCTATTTGAGGAGAGACTGTAGACTCAGGAAATAATGTTTAAATTATATTGGTTCCCTAGGGTCAAAGAATATACAAATAACTCTTATCCTGTACCTGTCACCTGTATTTATTTCACTGAAAATGCAAATGAAGATTGTGGTGTATTGATGGACCAGGGGATTTCTTATGCCAACAAAACTTTTTTTCCCTCTGACTCTACCTTAAAGATAAGACTGACTATATTTATACAAAAGAGACTTTATAACAGATTTTTTTTCCAGACTTGTAAAATCAAATTTGTGTCTGGTGAGGACAAATTGGATTTCCTTTTTATTCTGTATTTTAAGCATTTGTAGTTTATTAGGGGATGGGCATTGCATGTCATATTTTTGGTGAAATAAAAACATACATTTGGAGTTGTTTTTCTTGAATGTAAGTGGGCTGGTTGGCTGGGTAAACAGAAAATGGTGTTTTTGAGTCCTAAATAGAAGGAGGAGACCGAAAAGGGCCAAGAAGAGCAACATAGACCTTTGCTAGGCGTTTCCTCCCACGTGCTGAGGTGTCCATGATCAGAACCTCCATTTTCATAATAGTAAAGTTCACCAAATGATACCAAGACCAGGTGAGTGGCAAACAAGTTTAACACATAAATCACCAGGCTTGTTCTAGTTCCCCTCAGTTCAGGCCTCAAATGGCACATGGCCAAACACATAATTACAGACCCACAAATATAAGTAGATTCAGCTACTTGGGGGTAGGAAGTATATTATTACAGACTGGATGTGGAGAAAATCCTAGAGTTAAAATTTCCCAGGGTTACTGGCTTTTCCTGCTTCAGTACTTTCCTTCACTTTAGTTGAGGGCACTTGACTCCCCAAAAGAAGTCTCTCCAGTAGGTGAGTTTAGGACTTGGTGGACTTTTAAGTCTGAGTGATACAAAGCACCACCAGCTCTACATTAAGGTGTTTGGGGGAATTTTTAGCTTGGAAACAAGCATCCTCCCCTCCAGTCCCTCTACTCTTCTGATGCCTGAGACCTTTGTTCTTTTCTTCTTTACCTCTCTCCTCTCTCCTTATATTCCCTTCTACCTCCTTCCCTTCCTACACAGTCCCACTAGATATCCTAGGATCATCTTGAGCTCCATAGTTTCCTGCCTCAAACTCCCAAGTGCTGGGATTATAGCTGTGAACTACCACACCTGGCTCAATGTCCCTTGTCTAGTTTTCACAAATTTAACCATATACTGTGCAGGGTGCTAAATACAATAAGCCACAGACCATCAAGTTTGAAATTAAATGTATGAGGGCTGGGAAGGTGGCTCAGTGGTAGAGCGCTTGCCTTGCATGCATGAAGCTCTGGGTTCGATTCCTCAGCACCACATAAGCAAAAAGAAAAAAAACCAGAAGTGGCGCTGTGGCTCAAATGGTAGAGCACTAGCCTTGAGCTGAAGAGCTGAGGGACAACACCCAGGCCCAGAGTTCAGGCCCCACGACCAGACTCCCCCCCCCCCAAAAAGAGAAATGTATGAGATGTAAATGTGAGAATAATTTTGTGTATGTGTGTATGCGTGTGCACGTGCATGTGTGTGTTTGCCAGTCCTGGGGTTTGAACTCAGGCTGGGCACTGTCCTTGAGCTGTTTTGTTCAAGGGTAGCACTCTACAGCTTGAGCCATAGCTCCACTACCAGGTCCCCCACCCCCTTTTCTTTTCTTTTCTTTTCTTTTTTTTGGTTTATTGGAGATAAGAGTCTCAGGGACTTTTCTGCCCAGGCTAGGTCATGATTCTTAGATCTCAGCCTCATGAGGAGCTAGGATTGCAGGAATAAGCCACCTGTACCCAGCTTCATTGAGTGGATAATTTTAAAGGTTTCCCTGTCATTGACAAAGTAGTGGCCAGAGAAGTTACTGAGGATTTGTTCTACACTTTAAAGAAGATATTTCATTGTGAACCACAGACAAACATGACAAATAAACAGATAAACTGGTACAGTGGCAATACAAAACTTTGTGGACAATTTGCGAGATATTCAAAGAGACTTTAGAACATCAATGAATTTCTTTTTACTGGTGAAGCTGACCATCTCTGTAATTCCAGCTACTTGGGAAACAGAGAGGGAGGGACATGGGAAAGAAGAAGTGAAGAAGAAGAAAAGCAGGGAGAAACAGGAGTAGAGAAAAAGGAAAAGGAAACAAGGAGAGGAGAGGTAGGCTTACTACTTCCGGGTTAAGAGTATTTAAACCCCTGAATCTTCAAAAGTAACACCAAGAACTATTCTGAGTATAAAGGGATAACAAAAATGACACATCCAAGTGGATTTAAACTCTCATCAGGACATTTTAATTTTATCTTTTTATTTTTTGTCGGTCGTGGGGCTTGAACTCTGGGCTTGGGCGCTGTCCCTGTGCTCTTCAGCTCAAGACAAGCGCTCTGCTGCTTGAGCCACAGCGCCACTTCCGGTTTTCTAGTGGTTTATTGGAGATGAGAGTTTCATGGGGTTTCCTGCCCAGGTTGGCTTTGAACCGTGATCCTCAGATATCAGCCTCCTGCATAGCTAGGATTACAGGCGTGAGCCACTGGTGCCAGGCCTTTTATTGGTTTTTATAGTTAGTTGCTTTATTAATTTTGCAATACTAGGGCTTCAGACTGTGCTAGGCAAATATGCTATCACTTAAGTCATGTTCCCAGTCCTTTTTTTTTTTTTTTTTTGGGTCCAGTCATGGGGGCCTGAACTCTGGGCCTGGGTGCTGTCCCTCAGCTCTTCAGCTCAAGGCTAGCACTCTACCACTTGAGTCACAGTGCCACTTCCAGCTTTTTCTTTTTCTTTTTGCTTGTGTGGTGCTGAAGAATAGAACCTAGGGCCTCATGCATGCAAGGCAAGCGCTCTACCACTGAGCCACCTTCCTGGCCCCCCCAGTCCTTTTTAGGTGGTTTTTCAGATAGTCTTTCCTCAACTTTACCCAGGCTCAGGATCCTCTTACCTCTACCTCCTGAATAGCTGGGATTACAGGCATGAACCATCATCCTTGGTACATATATTCTTACTGGTAAAGCTGACCATCTTAGAGTCAGTATATAAGATACTCTCTCTCTCTCTCTCTGCTGGTACTGGGGCTTGAACTCAGGGACTGGGTGCTGTCCCTTAGCTTTTTTGTCTAAGGCTGAAACTCTGCCATTTGAGGCATAGCTGTACTTCTAGGTTTTTTTTTCTGGTTAATTGATGATAAAAGTCTCATGGATTTTCCTGCTAGAACTGGCCTCAAACCTGGGTCTTGAGCTCTTAGCCTCCCAAGTATCTAGGATTGCAGGCATGAGCCACCAGCACCCAGCTTGGAAACATATATATATATGTTTCCAACACATTATATACTATATATTATATATACTATAGTATATATATTATATAATGTATTAAATATTAGTACATATATGTTATGTAATATATAAAATAATATATATGCTATAGTATATATCACACACACACACATATATATAGGCAAAATATGGTTCTAAGCAATAGGTTATAAACAACTCTAAACATCTTGTTCTGAGGAACCCTGGCTCAATCTGTTGATCAGAAAATTGAATCCTTACCTAATATTTTTATTGTGTGTGTGTGTGTGTGTGTGTGTGTGTGTGTGTGCGTGCTGGAGCTGGAGTTTAAACACAAGAGCCTTGTGTTCTTTTTTTTTTTTTTTTTTTTGGTCAGTCATGGGGCTTGATCTCTGGGCTTGGGTGCTGTCCCTGTGCTCTTCAGCTCAAGGCGAGTACTCTACCACTTGAGCCACAGCACCACTTCTGAGACTTGTGTTCTTGATTGACTTTTTCACTCAAGGCTGGCAGTCTACCATCTAAGCCATACCTCTACATCCTGATATTACTTTCAAAGTTAAACTCAAGATAGATTGAAGACTTAAGTCTACACTAGAAACTCAATAGAAAAAAATATTGTGAGATACCTAAAAGTCAGAAGTATTAAACACGAATTCAAGGCCAGTCTTAGCTACATATATAGTAATACCACACACACACACACACACACACAGCTATATATAGATATATAACTATAGATCTATCTATATATATATATACATATATATGGCTTTTTTTTTCTTGATCCTGGGGCTTGAACTCAGGGCCTGGGCATGTCCCTGAACTCTTTTGTTCAAGGCTAGCATTCTACCACTTTGAGGCACAGTTCTACTCCTAGTTTTTGAGTAGTTATTGGGAAATAGTCTTATGGGGACTTTTCTGCCCAGGGTGGTTTTGAACTGCTATCCTTGGATCTCAGCCTCCTGAGTAGTTAGGATTACAGGCATAAGCCACCGGTGCCTGGCTCTACTGCATTTTTTCACAAACATAAGAATGTTATACAAAATATGATATAGTCTTTGTTCAAGAGGATTTCAAATTTCAAGACCCCAATGCCTGTAACTGCCTTCAAATCTGATACTATTGTATACTTTGGAAAGCTGGGCTTTCCCAACCCTGTTATTTTAAAGGTTGGTAAAAGGACAACCTGATTTACCTAGATTAAGAAAGGTATTTAAGCTTTGAAGGAAGAGAACAGAAACCTTGAAGTAACAAAATGTGTAGCTATACTCCCATAACAAGATAGAGAAGCTACATGTGGTGTGTTACTTGTAATCCCAGCACTCAGTAGGCTGAGGCAGGAGGATTACAATTCCAGGCCAGCCTGCACTACACAGACCCTCTCTAAATGAATGGATGGATGGATGGATGGATGGATGGATGGATGGATGGATGGATGGACTAATGAAGGGGCGGGAGAGAGAAGGGGAGAAGGGGAAAGAAAACTGGCATCTAAGAAAGGCTCCGGCTATCAAATCACGAGAGAACAGTCTTTAGCCTGGGCTAGGATAAACCCTTCGACAGGAGAAAGGGGAGTCATCTACAATTTCGTGGGATGATCAGCATCCTTGACAGATTGGAGCAGAGTTGGGAGCCCTACAGCAAGCAGAAGACCACGCCTATCCTATCCACGCCCCTCCCACCACGGCCCCACTGCGCCTGCGCGCAGAGCCAGGTCAGCGTGCATGCGCAATACGTCAGTCACGGGCTGGCGGCTGTGGTCCTGTCCTCGTTTCTGTGAGTGTTGGTCCGGAAGACACGAAGATGGTGCTAGATCTGGATTTGTTTCGGGTGGATAAAGGCGGGGACCCAGCCCTCATTCGAGAGACGCAGGAGAAGCGCTTCAAAGACCCGAGACTAGTGGACCAGCTGGTGAAGGCAGACAGTGAGTGGCGGCGATGTAAGTACCGGGATGCGCGAGGTATCCCTCGGCTTCGCCGCGCGAATCCAGTCACCGCTCCAGAGGTCACAGCTTCCACGCTTTGCCATGTTCTCTCTCGGGCTATGGTGGCTCCCAGCCTTTGCCGGTCTCCCTAACCAGCTGGCGCCGGGAGTCGTCCGGCTTTGCCCCGAGCTCAGCCTGCGCACAGCCTCTTCTGCGCGTGCTCAGTGCTCACCGCCGGGTCGGCGGGGAAGGCGCACGGCGCATGCGCTGGGGGCAGCTGTCAGGCCTGCTGCTTTTCCTCCACCCGGGAGTAACCCAGGTGGGAGCCGCCAGGGCGAGAGTTTTTAGTGGAGTTCCAGTCTCATCACTAATCCCGACCGTCTTTTGCTAGGCCATCTTGGCCTCCCTGTTGGGATAGGATCAGGAGTGGTCGTCTCAGACTTGAGTCAGGTCCTTAGCACATTAGGTTTATTCCACCGTCTTGGAAGCATGTGGGGGCTTTGGAGAATGCCCTTGGCCCAAAGCAGCGGTCCCGGAGCTTTGGAGATGGCCATTTTCTGACCTATGAGTCAGTCATTCCCGTGGCAGATCAGACCGACCGAGGGGAGGGATACTGTGAGCCGACAAGAAAAGCTTGTGATTGCTGAGGTGGTTTGATTTGTGGAAGTTGTGGTAGAGTTGGGCAAAAACCTGAAGCTGATCGGAGCATCTTTCAGAACGCTAAATCAAACCCTGGAATCCTCCGCCTCTCAGTCGGCCTAGATTAGCCCGAGGGCTCCCTGCTGGGCCGGATGTTGTCAGACACATGTGATTCGTTTTGTCTGATGCAATAGGTCCGTAACCAACTGAGAACCAGGTTCTTCCCCCCTCCCTCCCCCCTCCAATGATTTTTTAAAATTAAGATACCTTAGGAGGGTTCGTTGTGAGGTTTCCAGACGTGCACAGAATGTATCTCTATCAGATTCACCTTCTCTATCTTTCTCCTTTGACCCTTTCCCCTTTCTTAAAACAATTTGAATAGAGTTGAGAAACAGGTTTATGATAGGACCACAGAGACATTAGGTACACAGAAGTGTGATGGATTTCTGTTGAGAAAATTGATTTTACTAAGATTGTAAGGTCTTGGGTACCAAATAAAAGTGTTTATTTGGAGTTGTATGCTGGTTCTGTTAATTTGAGACACTCGAATGTGGTAGTTTGTAAGATTCCATCCTTGAATCTGAAGGTTTGAATTGTGATGGAATTGAAATTGCCATGTTTTATTTAGGCTAAAAATACTCTAGACATGATGGTATAAACCTGTAATCACTCAAGAGGCTCAGGTAGGAGGATGCCTTGAATGCAAAGCCATCCTGAGCTAGTCTGGAGACCCTGCCTACAAACAAATCAAAACAAAATCTCTCTCTCTCTATATATATATATATTTAAGGTATTATCAGGAGTGTCAGATTTCTGTATCAATCAGGTCATTAGCCAGCAGCTACATATATGACTAAATTTTTTGCTGCTTTCTTGTATGTAATATACATGTCTGTCTCTGACAAATGGGGACAGATGAGCTCTTTAGGGACAAAGATTGAGTTTTATACACATACATGTAGGACATACAGATGTCAGAGAACAAATTTACAGCAACCAAAAGATTATTGTTTGTTTAATTGTATTGTTTGTTTGTTTTGTTTTTTTGTTTTTTTTGCTGGTCATGGGGCCTGAACGCTGGGTCTGGGCGCTGTCCCTCAGCTCTTCAGCTCAAGGCTAGTGCTCTACCACTGGAGCCACAGCGCCACTTCCGGCTTTTTCTGTTTATGTGGTGCTGAGGAATCAAACCCAGGGCCTCATGCTTGCAAGACATGCACTCTACCGCTGAGCTACCTTCCCAGCCCTGTTTTTTGAGATTGAGATTTCACTGTTTTTCCAGGCTGGCCTAGAACTCATGAGCTCAAGTCTCAAATGCTCCTCTTGCTTCAGCCTCTTGAGTAGCTGGAACTGCAGTTATATACACATACCTGACTAAACTCTCACACTTGCTTTAAAGGCGGTGTGTGTGTGTGTGTGTGTGTGTGTGTGTGTGTGTGTGTGTGTTTTAATGGGGATTGAACTCAGGGCTTCAAACAAAATAGGCAAGTGTTTACCACAGGACAGTGTCCACAGTCCTATTTTATTTTATTGTTTATTTATTTGTGTATTTCTTTGCCTGAACTGAGGCTTAAATTTGGGGCCTGGACACTGCCCTTCAGCTTTTTTGTCCAAGGCTAGCACTTTGTAGTTCTACTTCCAGCTTTTTATTGCTTAACTGTAGTTAAGAGTGTCCTGAACTTTCCTGTCCAGGCTGGATTCGAACCTTAATCTCCAGATCTCAGGCTCCTGAGTAGACAAGAATTCAAGCATGAGTCACCAGTGCCCGGCCTTTTATTTTATCTTGTCTTTACTAAGTTACCAAGGCTAGCCTTGAACTTGCCTCCACAGGTGGCTTTTCTGTATTGTTACCAGAGTATGAATACATACATTTTCACCAGGGTTACATTGATTCAGGATTCCTGCTGGTTTAAACATCTTAATAGTCCTTATTTTTCAATTCTAGATCCATTAACACAGCATTCTATAAATAAAATAAGTGTGGGAAAAACAGGACAGGTAAAGCAGACGTTTAAAGAGAAGGGTTGAAGAATTTAGGAAAGAACAAAAAGGAGATGGTCATTTCAGTTACTTCCCCTATAAGCTGGAGACAAAGGAAATACATCTGGAAGGTTAGCATCAGAAAACTTAAGTTTGCCGTGTGTGTGTGTGTGTGTGTGTGTGTGTGTGTGTGTGTGTGTGTTTGTGTGTGTGTGTGTGTGTGTACATGTATGTACTTAGGCTTGAACTAAGTGCCTGGTGCTGTCCCTTAACTTTTTTTTTTTTTTGTCGGTCGTGGGGCTTGAACTCTGGGCCTGGGCGCTGTCCCTCAGTTCTTCAACTCAAGGCGAGCGCTCTACCACTTGAGCTATAGCGCCACTTCCGGTTTTCTGGTGGTTTATTGGAGATAGGAGTCTCACGGTCTCTCCTGCCCGGGCTGGCTTTGAACCGCGATCCTCAGATCTCAGCCTCCTGAGTAGCTAGGATTACAGGCGTGAGCCACCAGCGCCCGGCATGTCCCTTAACTTTTTTTGCTCAAGACTGTTCTACCTCTTGAACCACGCTCTACTTCTTTTGGGCTTTTGGTGGTTAATTGAGAAATGGACTTTCCTGCTTGTGCTGGAAAGTCTGTATCTTAGCTTCCTGTGAACCATTGGCACCCAGCTTCGGTTTACTTTTTTTTTTTCTTTAAGGATTAAAGCAGAAGAAATGTCATTGACATGTAGATTGAAATGAAGGTATTTTCGAAACCTGTCCCTTTTTTGTCTGGTTTATTGGAACGGTGCACAAGAACATAGTCCACAGCAGTGGCCCCTTGTAATTTTTTATTTAACTCATAGGTATATCCCAGATGTACATATAATTCCAGTGTGTGGCACTGTAATAAAGGCTTGTGGGCTGTATGTGTATCCAGAGCACTTAAACTATGTAGTCTAAACAGTGTACCACAAGGGCTCCATTGAGAACACAGGAGGCTATCCTAACTTTCAAGTCAACCTACCACCACACTAGTGATGACTGCAACTCACTGAGCTGCAATTTTTTCTTTATTATTCAGAGTAGCATAACAAAGGCACATTTGGGCATATTTGTGTTGGCTGTACTCCCCAAGCCGCAGGAGTACTGTGATTCTTGGAATTTGCTGCCGGCCACAGGAATTCTACCCTACCCAAAAGTCTTACTTTTTCTTACCTTTACTTCAAGTTCTGTTTTCTTTTTTTTTCAAGTTCTGTTTTCTGTTAACCTTTATTATAAATGCCTTAAGCCAAACCCTTATCTTTGTTTACTCCACAGTTTCTCAAACTCTCTCTGAGTTAGGCTTAGTCCAAGGCAGGAAATCTCTCTGGAATGCAATTTAAAGTCTAGGAGTAGCAGTCTTAAATTTCCTGGGACTGATGGACTGGGATGGCTGCCAAACATGTAGTTGTGTATTTGCTTGTAGTTACTCTAAAAAAGACTGTTGTGGGGCACCAGTGGTTCACAGCTGTAATCCTGGCTACTCAAGAGGCTGAGATCTGAGGATCATGGTTGGAAGCTATGCTGAGCAGGAAAGTCCATGAAAGTCTTAATTACCAGTTAACCACCCAAAAGCTACAAGTGGAGCTGTTGCTTATTACAATATTGCTTAAGTGCTGGAACACCAGTCTTTAGCAAAAAAGCTAAGGCACAGCGCCCAGGCCCCAAGTCCAAAACCAGTACTGCACCAAAAAAAAAAAAAGAAAAAGAAAAGAAAAAGAAGACTGTTATTTTAACATAATAGATCCAAAATTTTTGTTTTTAACAAAGTACATTATAGTATTTTGTTTTGTACAACTCTCCTAAATCCAATGTGTGTTGTTTTGCACTTACAGCACCTCTCTGGGCTGACCACATTTCAAACATTCAATATTCACATGTGTCTAGAGAGGACCTCATTGGACAGTGCAGTCAAAGGGCATAAAGCTCCAAAAACTTCAGTGTAATTTACAGTCTCCTATGGTTCCTAGCCACGTCTTTTGCTGCTCACAGCATATGATCTCCCAATCTTTGTTCTAGCTATTTTATATGACTCAGATACTTGTTTACCATCTTGTGACCAGCGCTAATTCCTAACACTTTCCCCCCTCCACCCAGCTCTGCTCCTGTAGCACCTTGTCTCATATTTCTGTCACAGCATTTATACTTTTTTATATGTTCTTTCAAAGCTTTTGTTTTCTGAGCTGGAATATATGCAATACAGTATAACGACTAATTTACTAATAGACACAAGTAACCATTATCCACAGTAAGCACCCCAGGAGCCTCCTTTCACCTCTCTATCCCTCCTGCAATTTGTCTTCTCTCTCAGCCATGTATAGCAGTAGGTGGTTATTTTTCCCTGCTGCATAATATTCCAATGTGCATATATGCCAGTAGAATTGATTGGCAAAATTGTCGACAAAATGCCATTGAAGCAGAGTGAGTTATTACCAGTTTCGAGGGAATATGAATTAGTTATATACACTCATTAAATTTTATTGTAAATTGACAACTTATAGCTGTATAGACTTAAGAGATACAAAATAATATGATTTATGAATACAGTGTGGAAAAATTAAATCAAGGCAATTAACATCTGTCACCTTCAGTATGGTCATTTATTGTGCTGAGAACCTATATATGTTCTGTTATGTGTTCTTTGGGTAGGGTATCAAAGTGTACTGTTTAAAAGTTCTTGCTTTGGCCTGGTGGCTTGGCTCTTGTTAAGGAAAAGAGGAACTGCTTTGGGATAAGAAAAGATATTTGAAATGTAAGGTTTTGTTTTAAACTAGTTTCTTTTCAAGAGGGAAATAAGACAGGCCCCAGATTGTTCAAGAAATAGCGGAGAGTATAGTCATATTTTGATATTACTTGTGCACTGTTAAACATTTCAAAATCATATGTGTTCATTTTATGTACATTTATGTACATTTTACCCTATTCAAGCTAGCCAATCACAAGCAGATTGTGAACCGGAGCTCAACCAATCTGAGCAGAGGGGAGGGGCCTGCTGCATTAGGAATAAACATCAGAGCAGACTGCCTGCTCTGTGTGCTTGCTTGACAGATTTTTGGCTAATGGTACACCCTTCTGTGCAGAAGTAAATTTTGCCTTGCTGAGATAGTTCTTTATTTTCTTGTCTATCATCATGACTCCAAAGGTTCTTGGATCATGGAGAACATATTTATAACCGTAGACACAGCACTCGTTTCCTATAAACATGTACCTGGGAGTGGAATGGCTGGGTTATATAGGCTGGCACATGTTTAGATTTATTAGGTATTGCCAAACATTTTTCCAAAGTGGTTGTAGTGACTGATACTCCACCAGCAATATCTGACGCATTCTGTATTCTTCCCAGTACTTCCAAGTTCTTTCAACTTAGCTAGTCTGATGGTTACACTTGGCTTTAATTTCCATTTTCCTGCAGACCAAAGATCTCTTATTTTGCCAGAAGAAACAGAATAATTCATCTCTCTATTGCAAACTTAGAAAAGAAGGCAGAAGAGGGCCTCTCTTTCCTCCAGTGACAGATATGAGAGTGGAAATCACACTATTTGAAGGGCTTTTTTTGGGGGGGGGGGTCTGGTCGTGGGGCCTGAACTCTGGGCCCGGGCACTGTCCCTCAGCTCTTCAGCTCAAGGCGAGCACTCTACCACTTGAGCCACAGCGCCACTTCTGGCTTTTTTTCTTTTTGCTTATGTGGTGCTGGGGAATCAAACCTACGACCTCATGCATGCAAGGCAAGCGCTCTACCACTGAGCCACCTTCCCAGCCCCTGAAGGGCATTTTTTAAATGTTGGTGTATTTCTTATTTTGCAGTAGTAATCTTTTTCTGAGCCTTGTCCACATGCCTTGCCATCTACCCTCTTCACAAGGTTCATTTGGTCTTGAGACCTGATTGTTTTGCACTTTTAGGACATTACAAAAGCTTAATAGCAATTTGGTTAACCTGCTTTTAGAAGTGTCAGTTAAAGCCTTTTTACTAGATGGATTTTTTTTTTTTTAGTGTTTTATAGGAATTTTTCTACATTCTGGATACAAGAACACTTTCATTAGATACATACACAGTAGTAGCTTCTTCTAGTCTCTGACTGGCCTTTACAGTCTTGCCATATTTTGACGAACAGACGCTTTTAACTTTAGTGGTCTAGTTTAGTGACATTTGTGCTTCTCATGTGCTGTTTTTTACATCCCAAGTTTCAAAAAATATTTTCCAGATTATTTTTTCTACAAGTTTTGTTACTTTTATCTTTCATATTTAGGTATGTGATTCATCTCACATTGTAAAAGCTAGGAATTGAAGAGTGTTTTTTTTTTTCTCATATGGACAGCCAATAACTCAAGAACAGCAAAGTAGGAATAGAGGGAACTTTCTTAATCTAGTAATTGTTGTTTATTTTAAAAACTATCCATAGCTAACGTCTTTGATGATAAAATAGTGAATGTTTACAATGGGTGCCAATGCTAAGGCCTGTGATCCTAGCTATTCTAGAAACTGAAATGTGAGAGTTGTGGTTCAAAGCCAACCCAGAAAGAAAAGAACATGAGACTTTTGGTCCAATTAGCTAGCAAAAGTTCAGAAGTGGAGGTGTGGCTCAAGTGGTAGAATACCAATCTTGAGTGGAAAAAGCCAACTAAAAAGCTCAAGGCTCCGAGTTCAAACCCTAGTACTGGCACAAAAACAGGTACAGTGGGGGCTGGGAAGGTGGCTCAGTGGCAGAGTGCTTGCCTCGCATGCATGGTACAGTGTTAAAAACAAGAAATTTACACCACTGCAATGCACAAACCTTACTGTTTTCATATTTTAATGTGTGTATGCATACATGCTTGCATATATGTGCGGGCGTGTGCAGACACGTGTGTTCTATGGGATTTTATCACCACTACCAGCCCACCCAGGCTGCAGGCCCTTTCTTGCTATGTCTTTCCAGTTACGAATATTCCCTTTTCCCATCCTCCTCTATCCCTGAAAATCACCATTCTTTCTGGTTTCCATCTCTGAAATTTTGTCTCTGTTTATAAATGAATGAAAAAAAATAGGTATATCATTTTGTGCTAAAGTTCAAAGAGACATCAAAGACATAAGCTTATTGGCAAAACCTCAGATAGTACTGTTAGGTTTTTAAAAAGAGGTAGCCGAGTAAGAACTGCACCACGCATGTGGTATTCAGGTAAGGGGTAGGTTTATTCAGTAGACCTGCTGGGACCAGGCAAGGTTGGCACTCCATGTGGCTGGGAAAGGCCTGGGAAAGAGAGAGAGCTGGGAAAGAGAGGAAAGAGAAGAGCTAGAAAAGAGCAGAGAGAGCAGAAAAGTGAGCGTCTGGGAAAGGTGGGAAAGAGTTGAGAAAGAGCTAGAAAAGAGCAGAGAGTGCAGAGAGAACCGAGAGAGCTAGAAAAGAGCAGCGAGAGAGGGCCTCTGGGCCTGGGCTAGGCCTTATCTAGGGTATGGGTGGAGAAAGGTGTGGCCACATCAAATTCAGATGTGACCTCTTCCAGGTGTCCCAGTTGCCTAGGTAACGCAGGTACTAGGTGGAGACTTTGCTGCGAGGAGGATGGAGTCTGCTAGCCATCCAGAAGCGGACCTTACAAGTACTATGTGTAGATTTTGTCAATTTGACCTCTCCAAAGCTTAATTTTTACCATATTGCCCCCCAAATGCTTAGACTCTAGTGATCCAACTTTTACAAATCAGAATTAGACTGATGAGCCATAATAGGTTAATTTGGGCCAATATGCTAGCTGATTACTGTATCCTCTTCCCCCAAAGAAACCATATTGTAGGGAATTATGAAGGCTGTCACAGAAAAGGGAATAACTTAACCATTTCTAGGCTAGAGATGTAGAAATATGGTTGCCCTCTTTCTTTCTTTCTTTCGTTCTTTCATTCTTTTGTTCTTTTGTTCTTTCTTTCGTTCTTTTTAAAATAATGTACATTAGTTATGCAGAGAGGATTTCATTGTTACATTTCTATACATGTTCACAATACATACCAATCAATCTTAACCCCCTCTATCACTTTCCCTTTCCCACTTCTGATTGCCTTTTTCTAGATTCCAGTATATAATAAGCATAGTTTGAGTAAATTTTAACATAATTGGCCAGGCTATGGTTATATGAATTGTATTTGAATATCTTCATTTGTGTTAATGCACAGTATCTGGGTTGATACTTGTACTTTTTGGGGGGTTGAGGGAGGCGTGTTACAATGATTTGAACTCAGGGCCTCCCACTTGAGCCATGTTCCCAGCCCAGTATGCCATTTTACAATTTCAACTTCAGAAAGGTTTTTTTTTTTTCTTTTCATCAAATACTGGGGATCCCCTACTGTAGTCACCAGTCAGTTAACTCAAAGACCCTTAAGATTTCTCAACTTTATGAGGTAGATTTCAGTTCTGCCTCCATTTTGACTTTAAGCTGAGATCAATATTTTGTTAGTCAGCAGTGTGAATGTATATACATGTGTGTGTGCTCATACACACACACACACAGAACATGCCAGTCCTAGGCCTTGAACTCTAGGCCTAAGTGCTGTCCCTGATCATCTTTTTGCCCTAGGCTAGCACTCAATACTTGAGCCATAGCACCACATCTACCATTTTCTGAGTAATTTATCAGAAATGAGAGTCTCATGGACTTACCTGCCTGGGCTGCCTTTGAACCATTATCCTCAGACCTCAACCTCTAGAGTAGTTAGGATTATAGGCATGAGCCACCAGCACCCAGTTTGTTAGCTTTCTGTTAACACAGCGATCAGCTTCTTTTGTGAAAGATTTGCTTTGGGCTCACAGTTTGGAGGGTCAGTTCATATTTGTTGGTGCTGTTGCTTTTGGAACCTTGGTGAGCTTGTGAATCATGGCCGGAGTGTACGGTAGAGGAAACTGCACACCTCTTGGTGACAAGGAAACAAAAAAAGAAAAGCCAGGTGCCCCTAGCTCACACCTGTGACACTCTTCTCTCTGATTAATCACAGAAAAAAGCTGGAAGTGGTGCTGTGGCTCAAGTGGTAGAGTGCTAGCTTTGAATAAAAGAAGTAGAGGTACAGTGCCTAGGCAGAGTTCAAGACCCAGGACTGGACAAAAAGAGAGAGAGAAGTGGGAGGGGAAGGGGATGGATTTCCACTATCCCCTCCACAGCATACCCCTGTGACCCAGGACCTCCCAGCTGGCCCACCTCTTAAAGGTTCCACCACCTTCCAGTAGTTCTAGGCTGGGGTCCTCTCAGAGCCCTTATCCAAACAATAGCAGGTACTAAGGAGCCACAGTGAGGAGTAGCTGAATTCTGTGCATCTTTGGATATTGTTCCCTTCTTTATTCTTAGGCAGATTTCAAGCCGACAACTTGAACAAACTGAAGAACTTATGCAGCAAGACAATCGGAGAGAAAATGAAGGTAAGAGAACTAAGCAACAGCCTTGAGAGCTTGAGCAGACTCATAATGAATTCTTTATCCATTTCCCCTTTAGCCACTTTATAAGAAAATATATTAAGTGAGATGGGCCTGACTGTGATCTCAGCACCAAGCCTTCTAGACTGAGAGTTCAAGGCCAGCCTAAACTACGTAGTGAGACCCTGTGTCCAAAAAGAAAAGCACTAGGGGTGTGGCTCAGATAGTAGAGCACTTGTCTAGCAAGCTTGAGGCCCCAAGTTCAGTTTTCAGTACCACTAAATTAGTGAATTAATCAACTAGTTAATTAATTGAATTCAGTATTCTCGATCATTTTTAAGCTATACACCCCGAAATGAAACAAGCAAAAGGAAAATTTGGAACCAGAACGAATGAAGACTATAACACAAAGCCCACCTTCTATTCAATGAGACTCTACATTTTTCTAGCTATGGAAACAAATTTTAATTCAATGAATGTTTAGTTTTCTTCCTGTTGGCCTCACGATGCTTAATCATCTGCCAGTTAGTGGTCCCATGACACCTTTGGGAAATGTAGACCAATAGGAGCTGGGGGTTTGTTTTTGTGGTAGTGGTGCTTGAGACAGTCTTACTGGCTACTCCTGACCCTCCTGCCTCAGAACTGGGAGTTTGGCACTACATTTGCATGCTATCTCACTCAGCAAGCTGGAGGGTGTTTTTGATAACAGTAGGTTGTCCGACCTCGTACTTTTAAGTGTATAGCACTGGGGAGTGTTCTAGTACTTTCCTAAACATCTACATCTCATTTTGGTTTTGACTTTTGCTGCAAACCTGGAGAGGAGGTAGTATATTAATTTATCAGTCTTCTCTAAAGAGAAAAGGAATGGGTTTAGGAAATTAAGGAGCTTGCCTAAAATCACAGCTTCAGTTGAATGCAGAGTCAGACCTCAAATACAGAACGTGAAGTGGATGCTACCATTGACTCATCCTGCCTATCATATCATTTAAAAAAAAACTCCTGAGATTTTGGCCATTTTGTTTTGACACAGTAGTCAGTGGGTTTGTGATTTGTTTTAAGTCTTCAAGCAGTTGTACAAGGGGTTACAATTTTAACATCTCCATTTATGCATACGAGGCATTTGACTCAAATCACTCCTTCTGTCATTCTCCCACCTCCCATCAGGCACATCGTTTCCCACTTTTTCACATATGTACATGGAGTGTCATGACTTATTTGTCAACCATTCCTTTTTCCATTTGTTCACTCCCTCCCAGGGCCCCCCTCCCTCCCAATTCAAGACAATTCAGCTTGCTGAGTCTTTTTGGTTTTTGTTTTGTTTGGTCCTGGAATCAAACCTAGAGTCCCACACATACTAGGCAAACACTGGACCTGTTTACCTGGGCAGATTTTGAACCTAAGGCTCAGATCTTATCTTCCTGAGTAGTTAGGATTACAGGCATGAGGCACCAGTGCCTGAATTGAACATGATTTCTATACTTTTATGTATATGTGCTTAGCAGACACTAAATCTTTTCTTTCTTTCTTCCTTCCTTCCTTCCTTCCTTTCTTTTCTTTTCTTTTTTTTTTTTGGTCAGTCATGGGGCTTGAACTCAGGGTCTGAGTGCTGTCCCTGCGCTTTCCTCAAGACTAGCACTCTACCACTTCTTTTTTTTTTTTTGGTCCAGTCGTGGGGTCTGAATTCTGGGCCTGGGCGCTGTCCCTCAGCTCTTCAGCTCACGGCTAGCGCTCTACCACTTGAGCCATAGCGCCACTTCCAGCTTTTTTCATTTTGCTTATGTAGTGCTGAGGAATCGAACCCAGGGCCTCAGGCATGCAAGGCAAGCACTCTACCACTGAGCCACCTTCCCAGCCCCACTCTACCACTTCTTGAACCATAGTGCTATTTCCTCAAATTATTTTTATTTGAGTTTTGCCATGATATGATAAACCTTGTTACAAGGACCCCTGTGTAGTCCAGTTGGCCTTGCACTCATTATGTAGCTCAGTGCTGGACTTCAACTCTAATCTTTTGCTTTTGCCTCTCATCTTAAACTGGCTGTTCACACCCCACCTTTCACCCCATATCACGCATGCCCTTAAATTGTCTTCTTAAAATGGCCCTGCTTAGTATAAGGATTAGAAATGATGGTTTGCAAAGTATTACTAAAAAGAACAAATGAGAAACCAGAGGGAGGAAAAGGAGCCCTGACTGTGCCCGTGTGAGGCTGTCAGGTAGCACCGATTGTACTTAGTTGCGGAGTCTCTCATCTGTTTTCCTTGACTCTCCAGAGTCTGTCATTCCATCCATTTTTCTCTTCACCCTCAGGGCCTGAACCATACTCTTTCTCCAGAAATTTAGAGTTCATGGCCATTTCAAATACATTCTCTCTTGATTTCCATGACTGACCTTTGTCTAGGAAAAGCCATTCTTATGTGCACGGTGTTACCCTTCTCAACCTAACAGATTAATTGACTTTTCCAGGATCAGAAATCTAAGAAGTAGCAGAATAAGCGTTGAAACTTTAATTTCTGGCTTTCCATTTACTAATTTTTTTCCTTCATGTTTCAACTTCATATAGGACATTCTGTGATCAGTTTATGTGATGTATTAGTCTGACATCCACTTCAAAACAATGTCAGATATTTTCTTTTATTTAATTGGATTCTCCTTTTTTCTTCCCGCAGAAAAAAGAGCCAGTGGGAGAGGATGGATCTGTTCCAGAAAATGTGTTAAATTTTGATGACCTCACTGCAGACACATTAGCAGTAAGTTACTATCCTTTGCTCAGCTGAGCTCTTGTTCTTTTGTTTTAACTTCACCCCTAGACAGCAGGTGTTGCTTCGCATAGCACAGTGGAGCTGTGAATTTCCAACATGGGCTCTTGTTATACTGTATAGTAGAGTACTCGTTGCACATAGATAGATGAAATAGAAAAGTTGAGGGAAGGAACAAAAAAAAAAAAATAAAGCACCAAACTGTGTTTGTGTTTTGTCACTTTCTCAGTGTACTATAATTGAGTAAATTATTCACCACAGTGGGCAGTAAGTTTCTAGTGTTTTTGTCACTGAACATTTTTTTTTTTTAATCCTTGACATATAGCAAGAGTATAAACAAAGAAAGCAAAAGTGTTTGTGCTTGAAGGATTGGATTGCTAGCCTATTCCTGTCTAGCTGCCTGCTCTGGGCTCTCAGCAAGAAATCCAGTTATAGTTGGAAACATCTACAATAAGGTTAAGATAAATTACAATCTTCCTGGAATATAACACTTTAAATTTGTATACATAATAAAGCGCTAAATTGGTTTATTAAAAAAAAATTGAAAGTGAGAATTAAGGAAAAGTTCTCTAGAGTCACTATATTAAACTCCTAGGAAACAGGGTGCTGGTGGCTCACGCTTATAATACTTAATACTCTGGGCCTGAGATGTGGAGGATTGAAGTTTGAAGCCCACCTGGGTAGAAAAAAAAAATCTATGAGACTCCATATCCAATTAACCAGGAAAACAAAACAAAACGACTGGAGATGTGGTTTAAGTGGAAGTAGAACACCAGTCCTGAGCAGTCAAGTCAAGCAAGACCCTGAGTTCAAACCCTGGAATGAGAAAAAGCAAAAAAAAAGAACAACTTCTAGGATTCTGGAGCTGTTGATGCCTGCTTATAATCCTAGGATTTAGAAGGTTAATATAAGAGGGATGTGAGGTTTCTTTTGATACTACTTTGGGCTACATAGTGAGACTTTGTCTCAAAAAACAAACAAATCCAGGATATAGAGCAACAGCAAGAACACCCCAAAATCTACTCATCTCTGCCCAAGGTACCCCCCTAGAGAAAACATCATGGCCTTGTAGGACAAGATCATACATATCTCTGTGAACTAAAAGTTGTTTATTTTTAGTTTGCTTTTTTGAGACAAGGCCTCTCTATGTAGACCTTGACGATCGTTCTGCCTCTTCTCATGTGCTGAGATTATAGGTGTAAGATACCACACTCCCAGGCTGAAGATGTAACTCAGTAGTAGAGAACTCGTGTAGCATGTTGGAAGCCCTTGCTTCAATCCTAGGCCTATGAAAAAACTAGGAAAAGAAAATAGTACACATCCTTGTGGCTATGTCAGTAGAGGACAGGGCTAGGGTACTACAGCTTGCTGCTGCTGTCTACCCCAATTATGATGGCCTGGGTGTGAGTCTGGCCTGGTTATCTGCAGACCCTGAAAGTCTCACAGATCAAAAAAGTCCGACTGCTCATCGATGAAGCCATCCTGAAGTGTGATGCCGAGCGGATAAAGCTGGAGGCAGAACGCTTTGAGAATCTCAGAGAGATCGGGAACCTTCTGCACCCTTCTGTGCCCATCAGTAATGATGAGGTAAGCGTAGGTGCCCCACCAGGGCAAAGGCTTTCTTCCTCCCTGTCTGCCAGGGCTGTGGCTTGCGGTGACTGGGCCGGAGGAGAGCTGTGTGACTCTTGTTCTCAGTGTCAGAGCTAACTCTTTGTGTGTTCCCTCTGCCCACCAATTGAGCATTGCAGGAGTCAGATGCTTGCCTGATTGGGAAGTAGCAGAGACAGCAGGTAGGAGGGGACTCCTGGCACAGAAATTGCTTCTAAATGGGGCTGCTGTCCTCCACTGTGTGTTGCCCCTGGTAGCAGTGAGTCCTGTGGGAGGGATCTGTTAAATCAACCTAACCCCCCCCCCCCCCCCCCACTCACCCACACCCAGCTGAGAAGCTGCAGGTTGAAGGGAAATCTGCATGATAAAAGTTTCCTGCTGAGCGGGAGCTTCCCCTGCACAAAGCTGCTCTGAGCCCAGCCTTTGTTCCCAGACACCCCAGCCGAGGCTGGGCCCATCTGTGCCTCTTTTCATTCATTCCCTCGTGAACATTAAACTTACTGCTGGCTGGGTGTGAGGGAGGCCTCAGAGTCTAGGCCGACTCGGGGGTCGTGGCCCTGAGCCCGCCCTCATGTGGCCCTAAGACCAATGGGAGCCTGGAAAAAAAAAATCTTCTACATTCTCCTCTGTACCCCAGGCAATGGCTGATTGTCTGGGTGGCTTGTCTTTAGACAGGATTTTTGAAGTCATTTGAAAAGGTTAAAAAACAAAACAAAACAGCTAAAACCTTTAAAAAAAAAAAAAAAGCCAAAGCTACTAATTTCTTAGAAAAATCATGATTTCTAGGTTTCCTGGGCTAGAATTGTGTCAAGGACTTCATAAATGATTATTTTCCTGTTGATCAAGTTCCCTCATCTCTGTACACAGTGATTATTAGAAGCTGCTGCTCAATTTAAGCCAGGGCCTCACAAAGGTCTGTTGTTTATGGATGGGGTTTGGGGAAGATGGAGGTTGTAGAATTAAGAAATCCTCTCTGTTTCTGGTCTTGTTTCCTCAGGATGCAGATAACAAAGTAGAGAGGATTTGGGGCGATTGTACAGTTAGGAAGAAGTACTCTCATGTGGACCTCGTGGTGATGGTGGATGGCTTTGAAGGCGAAAAGGGGGCCATCGTGGCTGGTAGTCGGGGGTACTTCCTGAAGGTAAGAATTGGGAGCCAGTGGGGATAAGGAAAGGGCTAAAAAAGAAAAGCCTAAAATCATAATCATACTTAAAGAGGCCCACAAATCTGCCACTTGTGCTGCCTGCTTGTCTGCAAATGTGTAGCAATTAGATGCAATTCTCTTTCTAAGGCAAGAGAGTGCTTATCCAGATTCCATAGAACAAAAGGCACTCAGTGATCCTCCGTAATGAATGCGCTTTGCTGACTGAATCAGAACAGTCTTCGCCTTTGAGGAGCTCAGTGTAATTGGACAGTCAGACAAGTAACAAAGAATCAAAACCCAGTGTAATAAGCTTGTGGTCTGAGGAGGCCCAAGTGCTTTGAGATCCGGGAAGTGGAGGCAACAGACACAGATTACAGTAGGCACATGAATTCAGGGAAGGCTTCCAGAAGGATGTGGTAAAATAATTTTGGAAACACCGTATACTTAAGTGTGTTCTATGTTTACAAATAAGTCTAGTAGTTTCAGATTTAGCACAGGAAAACTCACATGCGCCCTGGATGAATAATGCATTTGCCTTCCTTGGGTATCTTAAAGAGAATTCTCTGAATGGGCTTCCTGGTCATCACCAGGAGTTGTAGCAGTCCACAGTCTTCAGTGGCCTGCTGCATGCCTAGGTACCTCTGAATGTGTGTTCTATGGGGTGAACAGAAGGGTGACAGGACCCAATCACCCAGTGCTGTGTCTCTACTCTAGGGGGTCCTGGTGTTCCTGGAACAGGCCCTCATCCAGTATGCTCTCCGCACTTTGGGAAGCCGGGGCTACACCCCCATTTACACTCCCTTTTTCATGAGGAAAGAGGTTATGCAGGAGGTGGCACAGCTCAGCCAGTTTGACGAAGAACTTTATAAGGTAAGTGGCACGGGGCAGCATGGGAGACTGAGTTCTTGGCCTCAATAGCACAGAGCAAGCCTCTCCAACAACATTCTGCCATGCTTCATGTCTATGGTATGGAGCACTTAAAATATGCCTCTTTCAGTCAAAGAGGCAAACTTTTTTTTTTTTTTTTTTTTTTTGAGACAAGGTCTAATAATGAAGCTATGGTTCCCTTGCCTCATCCTCCCAAGTGCTGGGATTATAGGTGTGTGCCATCATACCAGGCTTGCACACAATTTTAATGTAAACAACCACACGTAGGCTGGTAGGTGCCATGTAAAACAATGGTCTTGGCCTGGTAATCTGTCTAATATATATAAATGGAGCATACTTTATCACCAGCAGCTGAGAAAAGAAGACAGTTTATTGGGTGTCTAGACAAGCAAAAGCTATAAACATAGCGCTGATCTCCCAGCCTTCCCATGTCTTCACTCCCGAGTCCACACTGGAAGCTCCCACAGGGCAAGACATGCTTGGAATCAATGTCACTTCCCTTTGAGTACCATCCAAGGGACAGCCAGAGGACTCAGGGTGAGCTTGACATTCTGATTAGATGTAGCAACACAAAATGGAGCAACTCAGTCTGTCCAGCACTCAGAATTTCTAGAATGCCTCTGCTTGTTCCTGTCCTGCAGAGTTCATCTTCTTTATTTACTCACTGACTCACTTTAATGGTGCTGGGGTTTAAACTCTAGATCCTCATACATGTCAGAAAAACATTCTGCCGCCTCCATACCCAAGTACATTCTGAACAGATTACTGCCACTGGGTTTAACTTAAACCCAGAAAGCAGGCCATCTCTTTTTGCCCACAATTGGCAAAATGACTTGGCCCTTAGTAAATGTCTCACAAGTATGTGTTGACTAGATTTATTTCTATTCCACTAATATAGTTGTGTGAGCTATCTGCCAGCATTGACCTTTTTATCACTTATAAATGTCTTATTTTCTTAATTTACATTTCTGTGATCTCTAGCAGGGATTTTATTTTGTTTGAGTTTTTTGTTGTTGTTGTTGTTGTTGTTGTTTTGGCCAGTCCTGGCTTGAAGTCAGGGCCTGGGCACTGTCCCTGAGCTTATTTTGCTCAAGGTTAGCACTCTGCTACTTGAGCCACAGCGCCACTTCCAGCTTTTTCTGTTTTTGTGGTATTGAGGAACTGAACCCAGGGCTTCCTACATGCTAGGCAAGCACTCTACCACTAAGCCACATTCCCAGCCTTGTTTTGTTTAACTCAGTGCTTTACACTTGCTAAATGGTACTCTGCTATTTGAGCTATACCACCAGCCCTTTCTACTTTAGTTATTTTTCAGGTAGAGTCTCATGTTTTGTTTTTGTTTTTGTGCTGCTACTGTGGCTTGAACTCTGGGCCTGGGCGCTATCCCTTAGCTTTTTTGCTCAAGGCTAGCATTCTTACCACTTGAGCCATGACTCCACTTACAGTTTTTTCTGGTTAATTGCAGATAAGAATCTCATGGGCCTGAGAATGTGGCTTAGTGGTAGAATGCTTACCTAGCATACATGAAGCCCTGGGTTCGATTCCTCAGCACCACATAAACAGAAAAGGCCAGAAGTGGCGCTGTGGCTCAAGTGGCAGAGTGCTAACCTTGAGCAAAAGAAGCTCAGGGGCAGTGCACAGGCCCTGAGTTCAAGCCCCAGGACTGGCAAAAAAAAGAAAAAAAGAATCTCATGGATTTTCCTGCCTGAGTTAGCTTTGAACTGTAATCCTCAGATTTTAGTCTCCTGAAGTAGCTAGGATCATAGGCATAAGCCACTGAGTCTCTTTTACCAGAGCTAATCTGGACCTTCATCCTCTTGAGTAGCTGTAGTATGTGCCACCATACCCGCTTTTTTGTTGGATGAGATTTCACTAACATTTGCCTCCGCTGGCCTTGAACATTCTTAGGATCTCAGATCCTAAGTAGCTGAGATTACAGAAATGTAAAACTTCACCAAGCCAGAAATCCCACTTTGGACAGACCATTGCTTCCCTCAGCATCGCTTCCCCACTACCAGGCATGATGGAAGGAAATTCTTTATGCTCCTGACTTGTGTCTTTGCTGTTACTCTTTTTTTTTTTTTTTTTGGTCATGGGGCTTGAACTCTGGGCCTGGACGCAAGGCTAGCGCTCTACCCCTTGAGCCACAATGCCACTTCTGGTTTTCTGGTGGTTTATTGGAGATAACAGTCTCACAGACTTTCCTGCCGGGGCTGGCTTTAACCCATGATCCTCAGCTCTCAGCCTCCTGAGTAGCTAGGATTATAGGAGTGAGCCACCAGCGCCCCAGCTTTGCTGTTATTCTTAGATAGGTGGAAGTCCTCCCTCAGTCTTAATTAGCATAGCCCCCTCCTCCCACAGGTGATTGGCAAAGGCAGTGAGAAGTCTGAAGACAATTCCTACGATGAGAAATACCTGATTGCCACCTCAGAGCAGCCCATTGCTGCACTGCACCGGGACGAATGGCTGCGGCCAGAGGATCTACCCATCAAGTATGCTGGCCTGTCAACTTGCTTTCGCCAGGAGGTGGGCTCCCATGGCCGTGACACCCGTGGCATCTTCCGAGTCCATCAGTTTGAGAAGGTGAGTAGAAGATGAGAGTCAAGAGTAGATTCCTGGGGCTGGGAAGGTGGCTCAGTGGTAGAGCGCTTGCCTCGCATGCATGAGGCCCTGGGTTCGATTCCTCAGCCCCACATAAGCAAAAAGGAGAAAAAGCTGGAAGTGGTGCTGTGGCTCAAGTGGTAGAGCGCTAGCCTTGAGCTGAAGAGCTGAGGGACAGCGCCCAGGCCCAGAGTTCAGGCCCCACGACCGGAACAACAACAACAACAAAAAAGAGTCGATTCCTTCCACCTGCATGTCCATGTCCAGAAGAGACAGGACCCATAAAAGTGGCTCCAGCTTTCCCTATCGTTGCACAGCTCTGCTGTGGAAAACAGCCCAGGAAGCACATGGCAGAGTGGCAGACTGGAACCAGGCTGCCTGAATCCTAATGTCAGCTCCACCACTTACTTGCTGTATGACCATGAATAAGTTGCCCAACCTCCCTGTTCTGTTTCCACCTCTGTCAAAGGAGGATAATGATCATGGTACCCATCTCTAGAATGAACAAGGATTGAACCAGTCAATATATCTAAGGCACTTTACACCAAGTTCCTGGTGGCTTTAGCCAGGCACCGGTGGCTCACACCTGTAATCCTAGATACTCAAGAGGCTGAGATCTGAGGATCATGGTTCAAAGCTAGTAGAGGCAGAAAACTCCATGAGATTCTTTATCTCCAGTCAACCACATAAAAGAGCTGCAAGTGTAGCTGTGGCTCAAGTGGTAGAGCACCAGCCTTGAGTGACAAAGCTCAGGGACAGCACCAAGGTCCTGAGTTCAAGTCCCAAGGCTGGCATCCCCCTCCCCCCCAAAAAAAATCCGTTGGTTCTTGTTGCCACTGAGGCAGATTGGACACCGGTACCTCCTCTCTCTTGGGTCCCACCTGACCTGACTGGCAGTGGTGATGGACTAGGTCATCACTGCTGGCATGTCTCTACTTCAGTTCTTTATTCAACCTGCACCACTGTCCCTGTCTCCTTGGGTCCCTCTCTGCAGATTGAACAGTTTGTATATGCGTCACCCCATGACAACAAGTCATGGGAGATGTTTGAAGAGATGATCGCGACTGCAGAAGAGTTCTACCAGTCTTTGGGGATCCCTTACCACATTGTGAATATTGTCTCAGGTAGGAGACCCCTCATCTCCTCCACCTACCTTTCCTGTATCTCACCAACACCTCTCCCCAGCTGAGCTGCCCCACACAGAGCTAGCCTGCAATCTACTCCTTCCCCATGTTCATTAAGATCCCAATCCTCCTCCCTTGGGGCTGAGAAGCTCTGAGTACTAGTTCACCTCTGGGAGAGGATGTGAAGGAAAGAATTCTTCATGCTACTGGAGGGTAGCCTTCTGAAATACCAAACCTCCTTCCTGAATTCTAGAGGTTTTTCCTTACAGGCTCTTTGAATCATGCTGCTAGTAAAAAGCTGGACCTGGAGGCCTGGTTTCCAGGCTCAGGCGCCTTCCGTGAGTTAGTTTCCTGTTCTAATTGCACGGATTATCAGGCTCGCCGGCTCCGAATCCGATATGGACAGACCAAGAAGATGATGGACAAGGTAAATGACCCCCAGGGATGTGGGCAGGGGGGGCCTTCAGCACAGGGCACCGGCTCCTCAGCCTGAAGCATGTTAGTTCCCAGAACCACAGGAAATCCTGCATGCGGTCTAGACCCAAAAGAGAATCTGAAAATAACTTTACTGAGTCAAGATTCGGTTCTTTATTTATTTTGTGGGTGTGTATGTGTGCCAGTAGTGGCTCGAACTAAAGGCCTTGACACTTTGCCATTGTTTTTTGCTCAAGGCTGGCAATATACCACTTGGGCCAAACCTCCATTTCTAGTTTTTTGCTGGTTAATGGGAGATAAGAGACTCACAGACTTAGCTGCCTGGGCTGGCTTCAAACTGAGATCCTCAGATCTCGGCCTCCTGAGTAGTGAGGATTACCAGCATGAGCCCATCTAGGACTGGGTTCTTAAAGATAGAATCCTGATTCTAGCTGTATTCTACGAGGTAATTCAAGCTTTTCTCTTTCTGGCTTTGTTTTCCTTAACTCTAGAGAAAGAATAATCTCCGTTTATCTACACAGAACAAATTGGAGGCAGTGTCTTCCTTCTTTCCGCCCAAGAAGGTCGGGTTGTAAGCTCATCTCTCAAACCCAGTCCAGACCCTTATCTGTTATACATTGGGTTTGGCATGAATTAAAAGGAGGGACAACAGTGATGGTTTCTTCCTTCCTGCCAACGCTCAAAGGACTAGACCTACCATTTGTCACGCATGCAGGCATCTTCCTGGAGTTATCCAATAGGCATTAATACCAAACAATTCTAGTTTTCAAAAACTGGAGATGGATAGAAGCCATCGTTTTCATTCGGGGTATTTGTAGCTGGGGGAGTTGTAGCTGAATGCATCCCACTCATCAGGAAGACCAGATGGGGTGGAACTTGACTTCCCTTGGTACCCGCTCTTCCCAGGTGGAGTTTGTCCACATGCTCAACGCTACGATGTGTGCCACCACCCGTACCATCTGCGCCATCCTGGAGAACTACCAGACTGAGAAAGGCATCACTGTGCCCGAGAAGTTGAAGGAGTTCATGCCGCCAGGTATGGCTCCCAGCTCAGTTCCTCTCCCTCCTCTTTCCTGCCCTCACACACATTTGCAGAGTATATGATGCTGTCTCATGGGATGATCTCCCCAAAATTCTACCTGTCCTCTGGCGCTGGACAGTGCAGGGGAAAAAGCGAAGGTAGCCCGTGTGGTGTAATACTCAAACTCTGCTACAGGGCAGATGGGAGGGAAAAGGACTGATAAACAAACAGCTCTGATGATTGTGGACTCCCTTGTCCAAAGGGATTGTCGTCTTGCTGTGCTCTTGCCTGAGATCCTTGCGCTTTGACTCTCTGGGAAACACTAAGTGTTGTGCTTGGCTCTTCTCTCGCAGGACTTCAAGAACTGATCCCCTTTGTGAAGCCTGCACCCATTGACCAGGAGCCATCAAAGAAGCAGAAGAAGCAACACGAGGGCAACATAAAGAAAGCAGCAGCAAGAGAAGTCACCCTGGAAAACCGACTGCAGAGCATGAAGGTTACTGAGGCCTGAGCATCCCTTCATCCCAGCCTGCCAGGCCTCCTTTCTGTCAGCTGGGTTCTGAGGCCTGCCCTGGAGCAGGGAGGCCACGCCCCACTCCTCCCCCTGCCCCACCTGACTGCATAGCGAAGGGGAACTGTCTTGCCATGTGCCAGGCAGGCATGCCTGTCTCCCCACCAATAACTGATGAAGCCATGTAATAAAGCGTCTCTGGGGAGGGCAGAAGACGTCCTCATCTTCAACCTGGGCTCCAACCCTGTCTCTGCCTGTTCTCTCTAGGACTGAACTCTTGCCTTTCCTTCCATGTAAGGGTCCATTTAGTGTGTCTGGTAGTTGAAAGCAGCATTGGATCTAGTAAAGGCTCAAGGCAGGAGTCCAAACATGCAGTTTTGCTAGGCTGTTGGTTCACATGTCTGTCATCCTTGCTACTCAGGAGGCTAAGATCTGAGGATCAAGGTTTGAAGTCAGCTCGGGCAGGAAAACTTGAGAGGCTTTTATCGCCAATTAACCAGCAAAAAGCCAGAGGTGGAGCTGTGGCTCAAGCGGTGGAGTGCCAACTTTGAGCAAAAAACACTAAAGGACAGCACCCAGCCCCTGAGTTCAACCCCCAGTACTGGCAGATAAAAACAGCCATAAGTCTTTGACACAAGCATGCAGGACTAGGGCCAGGATCTTGTATGAGTTCACTTCTCCCTAAAAGCAGTGGGAAGGAGTAGCTTAGAGACCAGAAATCTCCCAAAGCCTCTTAGCATTTGTTTTCTGGGAGGAGCTCCATAGAGAGGGTGAGAGGCTCCTAACTCCAAAAGAACCCAGAGGTTCAAGAGCTTAGTAACCATGGCTTCTCTCTCTATAGTTGTCATTAGGTGGAGAGAACACTATAAGCAGCTCCTTGCTGCAACTCCAAAGGTTACAGATAACCAGGGCAGAGGGTACAGGAAGAACATTTTGTCCTTCCCAGAAGATCTCCTTGGGCCCCAATAGGCAGGTACCCTCTCCCTGGGGAAGGTAGTATTCATGCTCACTCTTCTTATGCTGCCTTTCATCTGCAATCTACAACCCTCCACTCTTAATAACAACTTAGGTCAAGCTAGCACCTCTCTGCTAGCAGGTAAAAGTAATTCCTGTAGATGATCCCTTTCATCTTTGCCTGGTCCCAGGAGGTAGGGCAGGGACATGATTATACCTGTTCTATCCAGACAGATGTCCATGCTGAAGTTCCGCCTCCTAGTGGCTCTGCACTTATGTCTCCCTGGGAGGTTGAGAGTTGGAGTGTGATCTGGCCTGTCACAGCTGATTCTTCAACACATCTTGGCCCCTGTAGTCCCTAAGCAGCCACTTCCCTGGGCCTGCTGGAGCTTAGTATGAAGGAAAAAAGCCACGTGGCCCAGTTTCCACTGGGGGCTGATCCTGTGGATCTTACTTCTGGAAACCCTGTCAAAACCTGGCACCTGCAAGGGTGAGCGCAGTGGCTTGCTTGCTGCTCTGCCAGCTGGGGGGCCCCAAGCAGGTTCTCCATCCTGTAGCTCTGGGATAACAAAGCCAGAGCAAGGAGACAAAAGAGCAGGCGACTCCCATTTGTAATTCAGGACCAGAATTCACATTCCTATAGCCTCACTCTTTGGTTTGAAGAAAGGCAGCTTGCACAGTGAACCAGAGGCTGATTTTGCTCCACTCCCATCCCATTTTGGATGCCCATTAGAAATTCAGGTGACTGCATACCCCAGTCTGTCTGAGACCTGAGCTGGGAGGTCTCCATGCTCTTCTGTGTTGCTGACCTCCCCGCTGGAGGCTGCTGTACTTGGGAAGGCAGAAGCTGGGTTTCTGTCCCTTCGCTTTTTCTGCTCAAGGCTGACACTCTACCACCTGAGCTCCAGCTCCACTTCTAGCTTTTTGATTCTTAATTGGAGATCAGAATCTCATGGACTTGTCCAGACTGGCTTTAAACTTCAGTCCTCAGATCTCAGCCTCCTGAGTAGCTAGGATTACAGGCATGAACCACCAGTGAAGCTGGAACTGAGCCTCTAGGCACTCTGGCCTGTCTCTTAACTCCCCTGTACTGGCTGTCTTACCTCTTCACCATTGCTAGTTGTCTGGAACCAGCTTCACTTGGAGCCTGGACACCCTGAGCTGCCATTCTGTCTTTGCCAACCTAATAAGATGGCTGTATAGACCAAATGATCCATCAGCAGGGAAGGTCTCCTGCTTGCTGAAGCCAAAGGAGAGAAAAACAATTTTAAAGGCCAGGATGACTAACATAGGTTTTCCCACAAGGTCAAACAAAAACACCCTGGCAGGTGGGTGGCCAGGCACACAAGGGAGCAGGACTGCAGGCAGATGAGAGGATCCCTGCTCTCAAAAAACTCAAGTCTATTGGGAAAGGCGTGGCTCACACCTCGGAGTAAGCTGAAACAGACTCCTCTCCCTGAAGCTGTGGGGCAGGGGTGGTTTGGGGCTGATGCAAGCTTTGTTTAGGTTGTGCTGATCCACCTGGAACCAGATGGGAAAGGGTCCAGATAACCCGGACTCCACCCACATAGTTAGTTGCCTTTTCAGCCCACAGCTGATGCCCTCATCTCTGGCACCTTCACGGCCCATCACCAACCTCAGCCACCCAGGTTACCTCAGCACACAAGCCCCAGAGGCTCTGGAGAGTGAGTCAGAGTCCTGAGTCCCTCACCAACCCTTGGTTCCCACACCCAGGAATTTAAGGCCCAAGTTGGGAGTTTTCAAGCAAGAGACACTGAGAGGTGGTGTCTGGCCTCTACCAAGAGTCAAGTTGAAGCTGGACTAACAGAATTTAAAAGACAAAAACCAGGGTGAATTGCTGGAAACTGAGTTATGGACTGCAGGGCAGGGCAGCTGGTCAACCAAAACCTAGAATGAAACCTTGCCTCTGGGTACTTGCTCTCTGGTGACCTGTCCTGAAGCTTCTTTCCTGAAGCTCTTCCACTTACCTTGGTCCTGCGAAGGGAGGAGGGAGGAGCCCCCCATACCTCCCACAGGGGGGCCTGGGGCAGCCCTGGCTGCACTCCCGGGATGGGATGAGTCTGACAAGGCAGAGCTGGGATGCGCCCTAGAGAAATGTGCTGCATGTCAGAGCCTGTGCCAGGTGAGGGGCCTGCTCTACTCCCCCAGTCATCTCCCAGCATGGGGTTCCCCCAACAGCCCCTGCCAGACAGGCACAAAAGAGGATGCATCCTGGTAGCTCCCAGCTGCGTTGGGCTCAGGTGGAGCTGATGGCTCTGCCTCTGACGTTGCCCTTTTAAGATCCTCCCCCCCACTCATGGGGGTGCTGCAGGCAGGGTTCTGTTGCAGAAACCTGCAATGTGCAGCTTCCCCACTGTCCTGCCTGGAAAGAAGACCAGTTTTCAACCTCCAGGTCTGCCATGGGGGCCCCAGTGACTTCTGAGTTAGGGTGGATTTGAGTTGAGGAGGGAAAGGAAAGAAGGCAGGGAAGGAGATAGCACCTGGCCCTAAATGCTAAGTTCTTGGGATTTCTGGCCTTTCTTTTTCCATTTGTTGTCCTGCCAGTGATGTGGGAAATGGGTTGCAGGACAAACACATCTTCCCTTCCTCCCCCAGCTTGAACTCAGCTTGAAATCAGGGCCTGGGCTTTTCTGCTCAAGGCTACTGCTCCACCACTTTGAGCCACAGCTCCATTTCTGATTTTCCGGTGGTTAAATATGAGTCTCACAGGCTTTCCTGCCTGGGCTGGCTTTGAACAGCGATTCTCAGATCTCAGCCTCCTGAGTAGCTAGGATTACAAGTGAGGGCCACCAGCGCCCATCTCTCATCTTCTTTCATCTGATCATCTCAGCGGCCCTAACTACATACTGAGCATCAAAGTGTTGATCTCTATCTGATCCTCTACTTTCACTACCTGTTCTTCTTGCCACTTCTGCCCCAGTATTCACTCCACACTCATGACGCTCAGCCTGGGCATGTATCCTCAGGCCAGTCCGTAGCACTGTCCCACTGAGTGCCCTGTCACTTCAATCTGCACCTATAATGAGCTTGGTCCTCAGGATTTCTGCTGGTATGCGGGGCCCCAGTCCCTCCTGCAGGTGGCAGCTTCCTTGTGGTACCAGAGTAGCCTGGTGGCTAGTTCAGCCTTCTCTGTCTGTCCAAACATTGCAAATGGCTTTTCTGAGTTCAGACTTCTCAGCCAGGCACTGGGTTCATGGAAATGTTCAGATTAGCAGACGCTCTGCTCTCCTGGGCCTCACCATGTACTCCCCCTCTGCCAGCACTGCCCATACACCCATCCCTTCATGTTTGCTTGTGCAGTTCCTTCTGCCCACCGGCCTTTCTACTTACCTCTCTGAGATTCTTCCTGTGACTTCAAAGTGGCTCAACTACTACCTCCTTAAACGGCTTTCCCTAAAGTCTCCACCCATAGACAAAAATATTTATGAGTATAGCTCCGCTACACCTGTTGTCTCTGTATTAAATTGGCCACAGCTCAAGGCCAGAACTGAAGTCTTATTTATCTATGTGCCAGTGACATCTAGACATGTAGCCCTGAACACAGATGGGACTAGGCAAGGGCTTCATCCTCTGCCTGTATGCCAGTCTTTTAAGTCACCCTTGACAAACAGCTCTGGCAACTGTAGGTTGAACCTGTCATCCAATGCAATCTTTTTTTTTTTTGGGGGGGGGGGGTCCGGTCGTGGGCCTGAACTCTGGGCCTGGGTGCTGTCCCTCAGCTCTTCAGCTCAAGGCTAGCTAGCACTCTACCACTTGAGCCACAGCGCCACTTCTGGCTTTTTTTTTCTGCTTATGTGGTGCTGAGGAATCAAACCCAGAGCCTCATGCATGCAAGGCAAGCACTCTACCACTGAGCCACCTTCTCAGACCCTCCAATGCAATCTTTAACTGAGCCCTGGAGAGAGTCTGGGGCATCAGGCCTACTATCCCTGAGTGTAGCTGGCACTGGAAATGCAGTATAGCACAAGTAAATGAGTTCAGAGCTTCCTGCAGAGCAGGCTAGAGACCCAACTACCTACCAGATGGGAGCTCCAGGCATGAAGAGACACCTGGTCACTCCCTATGGTGTCCATCCACGCACTCATTCAAGTATTCATTTGAAAAATACTTACTGGATGCCTATTATAGGTCAGGTTCCGTGCTAGGTGACATATATTTGAGACACATTTGTTCTCCTTGGTCCTAGAACTTTCTGCCAATGGGTAAGACAGCTGTTAGCCAAGTAAATTAACAGGTACATGCTCTGTGTAATTACAAATTGTCATACATGAA